GCAGAGAAAGAGACGGATGAAAGTCCTTCAAAGAATGAGAAAAAGCCCAAAATGGGCAGGGGTGAGAAGACTTTGCATGCGGCAGCATCGCCACCCGCAGACAGTTTGGCAGCTACTCGTGGAAGACGACAGCACATTCCTCGACCTGTCTTTGCGCCTGTGGGACGTGTCGGATGCACGTGTCTCGAGTAAGTTTTTGCCGAGTCATTTCGATTCCAACCTTGTATCCAATCACTAAAGAATGATTTCCTTTAAAGGATCTTCGAAAGACCTCTTGATCAGCGCAAACATGCTCTTGCTGCCAGAAACGGTCCAGAGAATCATCAACGTCATGATTACAAAGCAGGCTACGTCTGTTCTTGTAATAGATTGTTTGCAAGTCGTGCAGCACACGGGGACCACGTAACGGATATGGTAAATCAGGGCGAAAGTGCTTCTCAGCACATAATTCTTCGAGCCTGGGGTGTATAAAATGTATATGAGCTTCTATATAGCACGAGAGAGAGAGAAGGGAGAAACTGCATGGAAAATGCAGTTGTCTATATATGAGAATGGTGTGAATCTTTTTGTATTTGTATGTTCTGAATCAGTATTTTATAAAGGAATCTCATGAAGGTGGCATCCCCAGAAGGAGGAGCACCTCAAACAAATATAAATCCATGCATCATACTGTAAAATCAAGGATTTGCCACTGGCAGCCAGTTTAAAATCGTTTCCAGTGTTTGCGTGAAGCTTTGACTCGTAAAGTTTGATGGTGCCGAGTTTCGAGAAACGTGCAATCAGCCAAGACGGCTATTTGGCACCTCCACATCCTTAAACAACGATGCTTTTACCCATCATTAAACCAGATACGGCATCTCCAATCCATTTAGCAAGTGTAACCAAGGGTTATATGTCACAGATGCGTAATGTTAATAGTGCAGGTGGCGATATCAAGATTCAGCACAAGACACTCCGAAGACCGAGTCGAGAATCTATGAGTTTGCCTACGTAGCAGCAAAGCACATCCCTTTTGAAAACATGACTCCTTTCTGGTCTACTCTCAAACGTCCAATTCAACGTTGAAAATTGTGCACTTCCTTGTGCTTGATGTATAGAAATACTCGATAGAGCAGATAAGTTGAAATGGAAAGATGCTGCTCTGAGTGTTCGACTTAGCTTCCTGTGATTAAATTCGTTTGAAAATGCATGTTGCGGCGTTGAGAAACTTGGCATCGCCTTCCGCTTTATTGCCCAGTGACATCGCATTACATTTTTGAAATGATTAGGCTCATTCAACTGCTTCCAGTTGAAAACAGTCTAGTATCAAAACTATATATTCAAAGACAAATACATGTCGAAAATCGAACTACATTCCATATCAAGGTGTTCTCTCTGACAGCATTGAAACTGCCTTCAATGTCTTTACTGGTTTCGTATGTCAGACGCACTTGATTTACATTCATGAAACCGTCGGATGCAACTATTCCTTCCTTCTTCCCATTGGTACTAGAGAGAGCATCATCAATATGGTTGATTTTCTTGGTCAAGTAGAAGGCTGTTGTTGAGTCCGAATTTGCATCCTGCCAATGCAGAGAGGTAGACACCGGTTGATACATCCGCAGGTAGTATTGTCCCTCTTTGCAAACATCAAGGGGAGCAGAATGGGTTAAAGCATCATTATACGATAACTGGCCTTTAGCCTTACAGGAGCAAGTTGACCGACTCAACCACGCCAACAATTGTTTCGTTTCTTCCTCTTCGTTAAACTTCTCAAACTAAGGTCTTCCCAATGTGATTGTCTTGTAAAGGAATTCGAAAATCAAGGCAGCATTTGCATTTAGTGTTATTACGGCCACGAGGCAGAGGGTTTTCGCGTCTGTGCTGGGTGACGAATGTGACTCCCAGTGCTGGTATGAGTAATCTGTCGTCGGATTTTACTTGGATTCGAAATGCTTCTGATATTGGGCGTCTAAACATTTGAGAAAAGGTGTTGTTAAGGTTCAAAATGTACATAGGGGGGAATGGTCTTGAGAGATAGCAAACTTAAAAGCAGAAGAATCAAATTTAAATCGTTGTTCTCGGCAGATTGTTGCACTTTCATCCACCACCCGAACGACATTGAATTTCAAATATCACCAACATAGACAAAAAGGAACTCTCGCATACTTGAAGTCGGCTTCTTACAGCTTGGTATTCTGGCCTTTAGCTAGCGCCGGTTGAGCTCTTGCCACGTCGTCTGACAATTAATTACAGTCTAGAGGCGTGACAAGTCGACCAACGAGTGCCAGATTAGGCATGTGAGAGGAACCGCGTGATGGTCTCCATTGTTTCTACTGACCAAAAACGACACAATTACACAATTGCCTTATCGAGTGGTTGATGCAGAGATTCTCGAGCAGCAAATTTCAAGCAAGCTCCATCTCGACAGAGACAGAAGAGGGCACAATCTGGCAGAATATAACCGTAGCCACTTCAATTGCTAGATGTGGAAATGAGATTGCTCATCTGACTTGGTTGTGCCACATAATACTTTTCAGACCGATCAATGGTACTTGCTTCTTCTTGGCGGGAGACGACTCCTGTGACTTATTCACAACTGAAAGTAGCATCGTCGATGGACTGGCAGCTTGGCGATGGTCTTCTTTGTGGTTTGCTCCATATAGCGTTTTGTTGAGATTGAAAGCAACAGGAAGGCAGAAGGCAGCAACAGGAATAGTTAGCCAAAACGACCGATCAGCATCAGATATTGAGATACTGCGATTCAAATTGTTTCATCATTCTAAGGCTAATATAATGACAATACACGGTGCGCCGTGCTCAATCCACAGACTTTTCACGATGGTCATGACTTTCAGCAAGACTGGCGCAGCACCGGCAGCGATTGAAGACAAGGGGAAGAAATCATATACCCTGCTCTAAAATCATTTTAGTCAGTCCATCAGCGTCTCTCCCTCTCCCAGTGTCTGGGCTCACGTGAATGCATGAACAAGTGAAATGTATGGATGCCGTCGCGTTTTGTCCTTTTCGCTGCAACTTGGCTGTTTCTTAAAGTAAAAGTAAGCCAGAAAGGGCTTTCATCGGCAGTCAAATTACTTATACGGAACATTTAATTCAGCCCTGCATCGTCTTCTCGATCTGAGCTATTGGAAACCAAAACTTGGATCAAATATGGTACGCAAAAAGCTCACGATTCAAAAGTTTGACCGATCTAACGGTGGGAAAAGCAGGAAGGATTCGATAATCCATTCAATGGTCACGATGACCGGTTTAATGAGTCGCCTGAACATGGCAATGGGGTAAGATTGGCCAAAATTTTGAAACCATCAGTCGAACGAACAAATACTGATGGTGTCCGTAATCAATCTCCAGGGCGACAGCGACCCCTATTTACAAGATTTAAATGCTGACGGGGACAGTTTTCAGAAACAGATCTGTCCTAATACGTAAGCAATCATTGGTTTTTTAACTGAGATTCCAAAAGTTGAAAGCTTCATACGTCACTCAACATTTCTAAAATAAGGCAACGGGATGATGAAATACCATCATCGAATGGCGATAAAAACTCCGAAATTGCTCAACAGCCTCATGCTGAGCACTCATAGTAAGTCACGTTTCCCTTGTCGCCGTCTCGTCGATCAAGTTTTTACTTGATTGGAATAGATCTAAAGTAGTTTTCAAGCTCAAATCATCTAATAATGCAAACGAAATCTTAATTAGTTCGGCTTCTTGGGCTGCTTCAAGGTCTGACTGGAGGAACGACATTGGCCCTAATGGCGAGCCTATTGCTCGAGGCAATACGCCCAAGGTGTGTTTGCAGGACGGTCCAGCAGGGTATGTTGTTTTGGATATTCATCCCCAGATGGGTATTTCAGATTGGTTGGTGGAGAGCTACACAAGAGAAAAGGGTGGATGCCAGATTTTGCCAAAACATCCAACCAAACAAACACACAACCAATCGTGAAGTACACATTCACAACCACTTCACGTTCTACCAATTAGATACAATTTAGCTAGACTAGCTGAGCATGCCATTGCTCACATTGCAGCCATTATCGAACTTCTCGAAAATTGGGTAGAGCCAACCGCGCTGACGGATTTAACTGACAATGAGCTGGCTGAATTGTATCTCACTGAGGAAAACAGTACCCACTCTACAGCTTGCACCGCAGCAAAGTAAGTTTTAACTTTGAGTTGGTTTCTCTGTCTGTCAACTTGACCGCACATCCCTGACAAGTATAAATTCAAACATATAGGTCCCCTGAGGTAGACACTAACCAGGAATATTCGTATTCCAGGGACAGGCGCAGTCTGAGCGACTGGAATGGTGCAATTGATGAGGAAAATAATCTTATTCCATATAATTGGTCTAAGGTCTACGAGAGCTCCAGTTCCAACTGGAATGGAGCTCCTTGAGCTTGTACGTGTATACGCTGACAAGGGTTTCAGCATGGCAGCGGTGTAGAAAGCTTAAAGTATTTGTAAGGATATATATGTAGAGAGAGCCAGACAAAAGGGCTGCATGTAAATGCAGTTGCCTACGTGTGCTGGTGGTGTGCATATTTTTTATTTCTCATTGGGTGTTTGTGGAGTGTAGTATTTTCTGATTCTGTATTTTTAAACTTAAAACTCATGATGCTGGAATCCCCAGAAAGAGCATATCAAACTGAAATAGAATCCCCATTCACAATCTGTAAGATCAATCGGACATTCAATAATGGTGCAGTTTTGGCGTTGTGTGATTCTGTGAGTCGTAAAGTGGAAGGTGTCGAGTTTCAACAAACAAATCAACCAAAAAGAGGAGAGGAGTTCGAGCTCAGTCAGTAATGTAAGACCGACCAATCCAAACACATAGCTGAAATGTTTGGAGTTGAGCAGCCAAAGTATACAAGTTCCAAATATGTACCACCAGGCCCTACAGGAAACAAACAGAAATGTCACAAGCTCCGCATTCTCCTACTCACTCGTGCCTGCTACACCCCCGCATTCGCCATATACCTAATCCATTTAACGCACTCTTTTCAAATATCTTCAACAACCATCAATTTTGAAGACGTAAACATCAGCATTTGGAAATCCATTGATAGCGGTGGTTGTGACCAAACCATCTTGTTTTCGGTTGTGGTGAGATCGGCTTCACCGGAAAAGACGAATTCTTGTTGGCCTGGATCTGTCCTGTCTTCGTTGTCGAGGGAGAGACGGGCGTTGAGTCCACAGGTGCATTCTGGCATCGTGGAGAGGTAGGCGCGCGCGATAGCACTTGGAGCGATACGTCTGTGCAAAGCGTCGTTCCTGTTGACCATGAATGTTAGTAATCAGAGGAAAGATGGGAAGTAGTGGTACAGACCTTTAACCTTCTGAGACAGCAGCAACCTAGCAGACTCAAACTACGACATCTCTCGTTTCTTCAATAATTGATGTCTGATTCATACTGTGCAGCTGCCCCTGTAGCACGACTGGCGATCTTGGCTCCTTTACTCCTGTAAACACTGGTGTCAGCAGAGCTAAAAACAACCCCGACGAGGTGCGGATGAAGGAACTTATAGCACCTCCAGACTTGACTCCCTGAGCAGTAACGTAGAGCTTCAAGTTCTGCGGATACTCAAAGAAAAACACAAATTTCCAAACACCGATGAAAAATAGCCCAGCTCCAAACATGAAAAACAACAACGTAACCATACCACTTCAACTGCCGAATCAATTGAAAATTATTCTCATCAGCCTCTTCATCAAAGTTGCCAAATATTCCTTCTTCGTCTACGAGAGAACCGAAGACTCGAAATTCAACAGAGTACTTTGCATTGAGTATGGTCACTGCCCTAAGTACAAGTTTGCCATGTTTGTAGATCCTGGTGTTGTTATCAGTCGACGCTATGCCGAGCAGTGGATGGGTTGATAAAATGGAAGGCTGGCTGATGCAATTGGTCGTATCTTCAATCGTTGATATTAATGGTGGTAAAGTGCAAGAAAAAAAGACGATATTGATGCTTGCGTGGAGTGCTGAGAGAGTATGTACATGTCAATTGCAGGTTTTGATTCTTTTTCCCTCAGACAAACGCGGTCTCTCCTGTCCATATACAATCTGCAATCCACGAAGCCCATCATGTCTAGTTTGAGTTCAGTGTTCTTGTGTTGCGTTGTGTCCGAAAATTGAAGATCTCGAGCTTGAGAAACAATGTAGCTAACAAAGAATCCATCAACATCTGCGAGAATAACTCGAACATATCGAAACATCCAATCCAAATTGTTCAGCTTAAAAAGTGTCGAATCCATTTCCTATAAAAATACAAGCGCCAAATATATACAAGCAATAGACAAACAGCAGTCTAGTATCAAAACTAAACGAAATATGTCAGCACCAAACCAAACCAAAACCCTGAGTCACAAACTCACCCGTATCTGATACGTCCCAGCCTTTGTCATATACCTCACCCACTTAACCGACTGGTAATTACTCTTTTCAAATATCTTCAAAAACCTCACCATTAAACCCGACGCCGTAAACATCAGCACCTGGAAATCCATGGATATAGGAGGTCGTGACCAGACCTTCTTGTTTGTGGTTGTGGTGAGATCGGCTTCACCGGAGAAGACGAATTCTTGTTGGCCTTGGAAGCGTGCAATCCTAAGATAAAATGTGCGTCAGTAGGTGCCAGCCAAAACAGGAGTGAAACCATGGACCTACTTCCAAACAAAGGAATTCTCAGACCCAACATATTTGCCTTTACCGGCAGTCACCAGTACACGTGTTGATGCTGTATTAGTGGGTACTGGGATTTTTATGACGACATTTTGGGCGAATAGTTTTGGTGGGACTAGGCCAACGAGGAGAATATAAGAGGAGGAATGCTTGAACACACCAAACAGTCACAAGCACTTACAATTAGACCTTACAGCAACCTTAAACTCTACCCTCGTAGAACTAATCTCATTCACTACAGCTTGTACCTTGAACGGCAAATGAATGTTTTCCGTGGTTCGATACCTAAAAAAAAAAACGATGACTCAACCACATGCCTTACGGCTCTCGCAACTCCAACCCCAATCAACATACCTCATAAGCTCAAACTCTCCATCAGGAGGTATAAAACTAATTGTCCTATCACTATCAAACTTGGCCAGCTTCACACACTGATGGAACTGACAATCATCTAATTCAACCGCTCCTCCCTTCTTCCCACTACTAGATGGCGCAAATCCAGACCGATCAGTTTTGTTTTCTTGGTCGAGGAGTAAGCTGTCGTTCAGTCCGAATTTACATTCTGGCATGCCAGAGAGGTAAGCGCGCATTAGCACTTGGCCTGATACGTCTGCGCGGAGTATTGTTCCTATTGATAATGACGATGTGTCAGATATCTCAGTAAAGATATCCTACAAGAATATGTGATCCTTCTTTACCCTTCTGAGACAAGAGCAGATTCACAGATTCGACAACATCAACGAATGCCTCATTCCTTCTATATTTAATATCTGGTCTGCGCCATGCGACTGCTCCCGTAGCTTGAATGGCAATTTTGGCTCCTTCCTCCTACATAACACATGTGTCAAACACGCAAACCAAAACAGTGGTTGTAAGTGACCAGAATGCACTCACAGCACGTTCAGACTTGACCCCCTCCGTCGTAATATACAACTTTAGCGTCTCAGGCTCCGTCGTCTGTGGATACCCGAAATCACAGATTTCTAGAATACAAAAAAAGTCATTCCCAGTTGACAACGAAACTATGTGTCCTCTCAAATCTGCACCTACCATCCATCAACTCATAAATCAGCGTAAAATTATTCTTTACAGCCTCTTCATCGAATTTCCCAAAATACGATCTCCCCAATGTGATTATCTTGTATAAGAATTCGAAAATCAAGGCAGCGTTTGCATTTAGTTTTGTGACTGCGACGAGATACAGATTTTCGTGTCTGACGTGGAAGAAGGATGTAGAGCCGAGTGTCGTTATGGGCGAGCGTACGTCTGTTGAGGAAATTACTTGAATGCGGAATACGTCGGATATGGAGCGTCTAAATGAGGAATCGAGTGTTTTTAATGTCAATGGGTTTTACGTGGAAGGTATGTGAGATGGCACAATAGGTAAATAGGCAGGCAGATGATCGAAAATATTTCGTAATGTTTCCATTCCAGGCACGCTCTTTACTCGACATCACCACCGGAAACCAATATTCCTCAAAACACCACAATTACAATAAACGAGACGAGGGGAGTCCGTTAGACGTACTTGATATCAGTTCTATACAGCCTGGATATCAATACTTCTCCCTTGGCGTTGAATATAAAGAAACCTGACAGTCCGGAAGCCATCTTGTCGTAAGCAAATATCAAGTTGATGAATGTGGGAACGTTTTCGCGATCACTCGCACATCGTTGTGAAAGTATTGGACATTTATTAAGTAACGCGTTCTCAATCTGTTTATTCTTCATATTCTCATATAGACACACGACTCAAACAATTCACATCAGTCATTTGAATCCCTTGACACGTCACACCTCGTTCACAAACCACTCTAATTACTCGTGAACTGGGCATCTTCAGCATTTAAACTTCATGTATCGACGCGCTATCCCAACAGCCATACCTCACAACCCAACACAATTGCTCAACAACATACGTCGCATGCCAATGTCCTCACAGTCACCAGCAGAAACATGGAAGGCACACGCTGCAAAAATCCCAAATCCACAGCATTTCGCTGAAGAATGGTAGCTCTTCCCCTGCATTACTTTGCAGTGTTGTTAAAGCTCTACCATCCGACGTCAACATTAGACGACTCACACACTCTCTCTCATAGGATCTCCGCATGGAACTCCCGTTCCATCCCTCAAATCCTCTCCCACTACAGCGACGATATCGAATACTCGTCTCCACTAGTCGAAAGAGTGGTTAAGACGCCTGATTCACGGTTTAGAGGGATGGCGACACTGAAAGCCTATGTGGAGGCCGGGCTGGAACTCAATCCTGATTTGCATTTTACGTTGAGGAATGTGTTTACGGGGGCGGGTGTGATTGTATTAGAGTATGAGAATACGAGGAAGCAGGTTGTTGCTGAGGTGTTTGAGTTTGGTGAGGGTGAGAAGGTTAGGAGAGTGACGTCCACGTATCGAGAGGCCTAAGAATCAGTGTATGAGGAAGGATTAACTAGTTTGTGCTTATTCAAATATACGTTGAAAGAAGAGTAACTGCGTTTGCGCAGAGGAGCTAGTTTAGGAAGAAAATGTGTATTATGCAACAATCGAAAACTCTATATGATAACTGCCTTTTTAAAATGGGAGATGGGAATTACTCCAGAACCTTAGTAACAACACCTACGAACAAAAGTGGCGGTTGGAACTTTGAACACCAACGGACCAAAACAAACAATTTGGCAACTCCGACGTACCTGTACCAACAGTCTTGCCACCCTCCCGCACCGTAAATCGCAATCCCTCGTTAACAGCAATAGGCATAGTAGTGGTACACACCATCTCCACATTATCACCAGGCACAATCATCTTGCCCTCAGCGTCATTCTTCTTGCCCTGTTCATTGTCTGGCCACGACAAGGCAGACGAGATATCCAGCGTTCTCGAAAAGAATTGTGGTTTATAGGCACTTGTGAATGGGGTATGACGACCTCCTTCTTCTTTTGTGAGGACATATATCTGTGTCAAGAATTTAGAGTGTGGAGTCATACTGCCTGGAGCGGCGAGTACCATTCCTCGTCGGAGTTGTTCACGTTTGAGACCTCGGAGGAGGATTCCGGCATTGTCGCCTGCTTCTGCTCGATCCAGTTCTATGTAGAGTTGTGGTGGTGGCGTTAAGATGTGTGGTTCAGAGTACATGACGGGTATGAGCCCCGCTCTATCCATTGACTATATACGAGTGCTATATGTACCTTTATGGAACATTTCGACACCAGTAATAATAGTTCTTTGAGTTGGCCCAAATCCAACAACTTCGACCTCAGCACCCTTGGTGATGACACCACGTTCTACACGACCAGTGACGACGGTGCCACGACCAGCAATGGAAAATACGTCTACGGTGAAGATTATATGAGATTCAGTTCACGTATCGAGAGTCGAAACACCAGTGACTGAGTAACAAGGCCATCATGGACAGAACTTGAATCCTATACCGTACCTTCAATAGGCATCAAAAACGGCTTTTCCAAATCCCTCACAGGAGTAGGAATAAAGTCATCAACAGCCTTCATCAATTCCAAAATGGCCTTTTCACCAATTTCTGGATTTCTCCCTTCCAAAGCACATAAAGCCGATCCCTTAATAATAGGCACTTTATCACCAGCATATCCGTATTCAGATAACAGGTCTCTCATTTCCATTTCCACCAATTCCAACATTTCTGGATCGTCGACGGCATCCACCTTGTTTATAAAGACTACGAGGGATGTGACACCGACTTGTCTGGCGAGGAGTAGATGTTCTCGTGTTTGTGGCATCTGGCCGTCTGTAGCTGATACGACGATGATTGCGCCGTCCTGATGATTATGCGGAGGTGTGTTAGGTGTGTTAGCTCAGTTGAGCCAAGCCTGCAGTCACTCTCGTCACATAGAGACATTGGATCTCCTTCCCATACATACCATGGTAGCAGCACCAGTAATCATATTCTTTACATAATCAGCGTGACCAGGGCAATCAACATGAGCATAGTGCCTCTTGTCGGTCTGGTATTCTACATGGGCACTGTTGATTGTGATACCACGTGCTCTTTCCTCAGGAGCCTTGTCAATAGAAGCGTAATCTCTGTATTCTGCTCCACCAGCTTGGGCCAACACTAGTACAAGACAACAGTTGTTAACATCAATTTTTTTTACCCGAAAGTGTGAATCGACCCTTCTGCTCAAGCGAACGCATCAGGAACATTTAGAAACAAGTGAATAAACTATTTTCTATGCATACCTTTGGTGATTGCAGCCGTCAGAGTAGTCTTACCATGGTCGACGTGTCCAATAGTGCCCACATTTACATGTGGTTTTGTCCTTTGGAAGGTCGACATGTTCCTTCCAGCTACAAGGGGTATGCGACGTGATGAGAGGATCGGCTGTGTCCATGATGAGGGTATAGATGTCCTTGATGTCGAGTGTGATGGTCGTAGAGTTGAAATGTATTTATTACTATTGCCCAGCAGTCTAGAGGAAGAGCATATTCCTTGAAGCAGAGCTGCTGAGAGAGCCGATGGCGATGCTATATTCCCTGGGATCCTGCTACCTGTACGAAGAGCTGTCATCTTTTTGGCCTGGAACTAAAGCAATGATGTTTGGATTTGTTAAAAAAAAAGTTTCGAATTGACTCATGTGCTGATACGAAGACGCAGGGGCTCTCAAAACGTGTAGATATTGTTTAATGCAATTTATAACGCGTATGGAAGTGCCTTGCATCGTGAAGAACTACCAGATTGTAAGTTGGAACATATACGTCTAACATTTGATGAACCTTTACTCAGTCTTTCAGTCTTTTTCTAGGAAGCAACGAGTGTGGAGCTTGATATCGAACTTGTCGATTACGCTTCCAAACACTGGACACGTCCTTTATATGTTGTTTGCCGACACTGGCAGGTCATCAACCATCAACCCATTTATTGCGGTTGGACCGTGAGCGGGACAGCCGCAACTCTCATCCTGCTCTCACGGAGTAGCACCAGCATGCACGTAGGTATCTTACGCTAAATATCGTCAAGGAGTCAACCTGCTGAAACTGGAGTCGTGTCTTTGACGAACTCACCAGACAGTCGCTGTACGTCGAGGTTTAAATCATGGATATCCCGTGCCTCTTCTCAACGCCTACACGTAGCTGCTAACCACATTCACACTGCGAGACCAACACAACAACAACATTAGACTACCAATGTCTACACTTTTCTGTGGCCCATCATTTCAAGTCGAAGTTCCCTCTGGGTCTGAATCCGGATTCGATCTCCTGGCTAGGATCTCAGGACTTTCACCATCGTCATCATTGTTTCTCCACAACAAAGGAAGGACGAAGGCCAACTAACGCTGAAGTGACGTGATTACATTTAATCCAAACTTTTCAGTGTATCTATCACCTTTCGACAGTACTTTCGTGGTGAATCTGGTGAATGGACGTGGTGGTTGTTCGTGGTGGTGCGTACACTTGACGTCTGGACGCTGGCATTGATGTTTTCTAGTCAAACGTTTTGTGCACTTTTCCATAGCATCCAAACATATATTTGCAAGATGTTTGACCTCTATTGGACCACCACAATTGTTGTTTTGCCTTCGTGTATTCGACTCTTACAGTATGGTCAAGCCTTGCTGCGAAATGTTTCCAGCTAGGGAGTATATATATGTGACAAGACTGGCTACTGGTGCCAGAGCAATCTTTTCTCTAGGACGAATATTTCAAGAAGATAAGCCAAACTGCAATTGCAACACGAGACACTTGCTGGGAAATGGAAAATAATTGGGTGTAAATTGCACACAATAATATGCCTTCAAACAAGAGTGGAGTGTACTCCGTCTACTTGCCTTCTGTCACTTTATGAAGTGAGCCGCACTCTGACTACATAAAGTCCAAAATTTCTTTGGATGTCGTGAGGACGTTAGCCAGACACCATGAACACCAAAGCGTTGATACCTTGTAGAGCCCTTTAGCCGGTACTCGATTAGCTTTTGGGGTTCTACCGGGCGGCAAGCGTTCGAGCCCTGGCCTCCTTTTCGCTGATAAACCGAAATTCCCAATCGAGAAGGCCGCGAACTGCATATACGTGGATACGTATGTGCGTCTCGTGATGGCATTGTCCTTTACGACAGTTATTTCAAGCTGCTGAATCATATAGCATGCAATCAACACTATGGCAATGTGCGGGTGTATGCTTTTCCAATTATTTGACAATTAACCGTGTTGTCAGGTTTGTAGTGTCTGTCTAATACATTGTCGGCGTCTCCGAAATCACGAATACAACATTTTTCTGAGGAAGGCGCTCGCGAAACAGCACAGAAAGCGTTAAAAATGGATGCTGAATCGATTCTTTGGTTTCACGTCCCATGACACTACGCGTAAAAGTTCTGGAACGGTCCGCTGTTACTACTCTTGCGTTTTGCCCAAGTTCATGGCGTCAAAGACACGACAACGAATAGCTACGATACAGCACGTCTAGACGGTGTAACCACTCTATTGGAGCTTATGTAGTAGCGCCAATCCACACAAATTAGCATCCGGTTAGGTGCAGCACTCCAGATCTCCTTCTATAGCAGCCTGACCATTTTGATTGGTTTTCAAAACGCATTGACTCCTTTTTTCGAGACCAGCGACTAGTCCAACCGATATCATATAGCTCAAATGGTATTTGACAAAGCAAAAAAAACAATAGTAGCCCGACTTCAAACAATTAGCATCACGTGTTTGTGTTTGGTTTGTAATAGCATGTAACAGCAAAGAAAAGATAGAAGGTGGCCGCGCTGAAATGTTTTCGAAACACGTATGAACACGTACCTTCTCTCCTCGCCTATCTCGCTTTTCACGGACTTGCGGGGTCTCAAAATTCCGGATGACAAAAAAACCAACTTTGTCTGAAAACACGCAGACTGATCTTTCTCGTTTCAAAACAGTTCACCAGCTACATCTTACCACACTAATGGCTCCTCGTAAAGTACTCGTAGTTGGCTCCACCGGCAATGTACGTAAACCTCTTAAGCCTTTCGCGTCCACACTTCCCTTTGATTTTGATGCTGACTGCCTGACTTTCACCTCCAGGTCGGAATCCCACTGCTGAAATTCCTGTCTTCACGACCAGACCGTTTCGTCACAGTCGGATGTACCCGTGATGCTTCCAAAGCTGCTGTAGAAAACCCAACATTTGGATCAAGTGTCACATTCATCACCGTCGCAGGCACCACGCCAAAGGAGCTTGATGATGCGTTAACGGGAGTGCAGGATTTAGCAATTATTAAGCCGTTTTTGCCAAAGTACGTCACAGCAAATCAGTGTTGGATTATTTTGTCCTCATCGACGTCCTTTTCTCGCTCTTCACACATATAGATACGGTCTAGATTTCGCACAAGCCTGGATTGATGCTGCTAAACGCGCCGGATCCGTGGAGCGTGTCGTAATGTTGAGTGGACTACCACCCCAAATTAATGGTTCCATTGATGATCCAACGGTCATCGCGTCAGAACAGCCAGTGGTTAAGAGCGGACTATCCTGGACTTTGCTTCGACCACCATTCTTTCATTCGAACTCTATGCAGTGGGCCAAGAGTATCATATCTGAAGGTACGTCAAATAACACCGATTTATAGCGGCAGAAAGCCCGTCACTTCTTTTTGCTCTTGTCGATTTTTAATATTCTCATTCTTCCTGCTTGTTCTAGATTGCATAAGAATGCCATGGGGCTTCCGCAAATTCTCTGGCATCGGACTTACGGATATGGCTGCTGCATTCTTCCATGTCTTGTTGGATCCAGTTGCGAAACATAACGGGAAGGCGTATGCTCTTACTGTTCGAGAGTGAGTGTGTTGTCTTTCACTTTATATTGTTGTCACTAGGGACTGATTTTGTAGTGTACTAGCTTGACAGGTGGAAACGAAATCGCTGCTGCATTCTCACGGGCTTTGGGACGTACTATTCGTTATGAGCCGTTAACGATCCCTCAGTATCTTGATGTGCTGAGAGCTCAGGGGCGACCTGAGCTGTCGTTGCTGTTTGCGTCTGTTGTTTTCCAAAAGGTATCCACAAGTCCACGAAACCGCTGGTTTGTCATTATTTATGTTATTAACCAAGTGGTACTCCTACAGGTCTTGGATGGTGGCTACGAACAACAATCAAACGACCTAAAGTACCTCACGGGACGGGACGGCGAATCATTTGAAGAATATGTATTCGCAAACAAGCACCTTTTCGGATCTTTATAAAATTAGAATTATTGAAATACAAAACATTGTTTAAACATACATCTATTTATATCTCCCAGTTACCCACAAGCACAACACTCTTCTCACTATCACCATCCGCGTACCCAACCAACATAATCCTTCCAAACGCCCACACTTTCGGCCTCACGAGCCGAAACGCATTCCCAAACGCCGTACCCACCCACTCATCATCCACAAACACTTCCCACGTGATTATAGGAATGTCCTGTAAATTCCAGGATAACGTGAATTCAACGTTTGGGCCAAGGTCTGTTATATCGGACGTTGTTAGGGATAGATGGTGATCAGGTGGGGCTGGTGGATTGCTTGGGTCTGGGTCTATGAGTGATATCTCGCCTATACGAGCAAGGATATCTGTTTCTGTGCCCGGTACTTGTTCATCTGGGAGTATATCGGACTTGCTCACTCCATATGTATGAGAATGAGACTTGTGAGCAAACACCAGTCCCAATTCTTTCAACACATCTCCACTACTCCATACTGCCCCTAAATCAGTTTCTAGTGTCGTCCAATCACCAACGACACTAACTAATTTGGGAAACACGACATATTCTGTCCCTGTTTCGTGTGTTATGATAAATCCGATTGCAATGTCCTGGGACACATCTGTTACTCTTACACGTAGGTGACTCAGACTGTCACCATACGCGATATCCAGGCCAAATAATGGGATTGTAACCAAACTTTGGTTTAAAGGACGATCGCTCCCACGAATGACAAGACTAGAGCCACCCCAAAACGCTTTCCCCGTTTCGAGTTTAGATGTATAGGCACAAGTCGTACGATCTGGACGTAGATTGCTGCCGTCCAGTACAAGGATGGTGGATGGACGGTGATTGAAACTGAATTACCGTGAGTATTTTCAAAGGGAGAGCTTTTGGTTGTGAGTTTTACCTCGGCAAGAGTGACGTCCTTCCGATATGATGCCACGGCGTTGAGCTCACTCGGTTCCCACCAACATAATACTCGAGACCAGCTCCAAGACAAAAGTTGGAGTAGAGGGAGGTGATAGAAGCTCGTGGTTTAATATAATCTGTAATACATCCTAGATCTAAAGAAGTTGCGTCTTGGCAAAAAACTGCAAACTACGATAGGATATTTTTTCCATACCATTTTCATCAGGATTTGTCGAAGCGTTTTCCTCAACATCCTTCGCTGGCAAGACAATCTTTGACGGGTCCATCTTATGAATACCATGCCACAAACAAGCCTCATACAACTCAAACATGCTCGAATCAAGGTGCTCATAACTCCATCCTGGCGCGAACATTGCGACTGATGTCCCGGCGTCCTTGATTACTCTTAGAGCCTAAACATCAAACTCATTAGCCCGATGTTGCACAAGAAGCTGAATGTTACATACCTTGTGCACATTAAATCCACCACCACCAAACGTGTTCCTTCCCCAAAAATCAATCCCAACAAACACGTCCGTCCTTTTATCTCCAGCTTCTTGAGAATCGTGTGCAGGTTGATGTGCCTTCCAAGTATAGTTCGTGAAGATCGCGTCAGCGGCTTCAAAGAATGGGCGGTTGCGGGACGTGAGACCGTCTTGCCATTCAATCTTTCCTACAAGAATGAAAGTAATAAATAAGCGTTATCATAATGATAGAGTCAGAGGTATAGCGACATGTTATCGGAGCAAGATAATAGCAAAATCAGAGCATTCTTGTAACGGAATGGGCAAAAAAACATAGGTTGCCACTGTCAAAGTCTGAATTCAACAGAACCAGCCAAACCGACCTTCAGTAGTCAGACTATCATACCAAATCACTAGCGACCCAGGCACATATTCATGCATGGTGTCGGTCAAGATCTCAACAAACTTGACCATGTCGTGGGCTTGTTGAGCATTCCTCAGAGGAGATTCGATATTCAAAAGCCAGCCGTCAAATGCATAGTGTTTAGCAATCTGTGCTGTGTGTAAGAAAGTGAGAGATAGACGCGAGAGAGATAAACTTGTTCTTCTGTGTCAGTTGGTTTTTGGTACATACCAAGTTTGACAGCAAACTGATCTGACACTGTTCCACTACTTGGATCATCTACACCATAGATAAGTCTTAAATTCTCCTCGATTCCTTCATCCCATTCAGTTATAAACGTTCCAAGGATCTGGTTATGGAAACATCGTCAGCACATTTTCGCTTCCTTTTTGCTTTCAGTTGAATTCACACCTTGACATTGTTCGTATGTGCAGCATTAATCCAGGTAGGTGGTGGAATAGTAATCCTCCAATGACTGAAGTCTACAAAACTCTAGGGTTAGCGTTTTCAGCAGTTTAATGTCGAAGCTTTACACCACAACGTTACATATAAACACGTCAATTGAGGACCAATGGTCGAATCTATACGCGTTAAATTGATGATTTCCTTGCCATGATGCGTCCTCGTTATATCCTCCTTTGAAATCATGACAGACAATTACTTTTGGTCGTGATTTTTCTGGCTTCTTGACAGAATCTCGACGGATTGTAACATAGACAGGAGTTTCTGCTGAATCCCAATCGGCGAGTTCCTGTAACGACTTAAGCGGTGCAGTCACGAACGGTGGCATCTTGACCAAAGAGAACCAAACATATACATGCGACTAGATCTATTTTACTTGTAACTTTGATACAGATGCGAACTGATAATTTATGTCCCTAGTACTCATCCAACACTGCTTGAAACAGCGAAACTCCACGCGTCAGGACTCACTTGCACCTGCACCTCCTCCTCCTCTAGCCGTATGCTGATCCAACGCATCCTTCATCTTGGATCTCAATAAATCAACAGCCTCAACAAGCAACTCCAAATCCTTTTCTTCACCATGTACATTCGTTTTGATTGGCATTGGGTGTTGATCGGGACGTGCTAGTACACCCTTGTCAGCGAGTAAGCGTATTACGACTCGTAGTCTGTTTTGAATGACCTAAGTAAGAGAATATGTGAGTTTCACGCATATGATGTCAATGACAAAAAACCAGCCAACGGCATTACGTTCAAGGCATCAAAGTATCTCTTTGCCAGATCGTCAAACGCTAATCCCGACAATGGATCTTTGGTTGGTGCAGTTGATGTCAACATACTGGTGGCTTGAGATGCGACTCGTAGTAGAGCGACAATGGTCTAAGTTGAATACCGTGTTATTTGATGTTTCATAGTTTCGACAAAGGAAAGACAAACAAAGCATACCAGTTCTATACTATTGATTTCCTTAATAATATCATCAGTTCCAGGCTCTCTGTCCTCATTTGAATCAGGCGTCTGTCCTCCATCTTCCTCTACCTCGTCCACTTCCATTTTGGAGCTCAAGCTCCGTGTTGCAGAGCTAGAGAGGAGAGGATAGATATAAGGCAGGCCTGTACTTATCAATAGATTTTAATTAGCTCAGTGCGTTTTATCGTTCGCTAACGACTTGTATTGAAATATAGTGTCGAATGTTGACAATGCAAGAAGAGCGTGATGCAGCTCAAGCCAAGGAGGAGACTGAACGAATGAAGGAACTCGAACAGCTCTTACATGGTACCATCACGCGTTATCAACCGCCTTGGCTCTCTTACGACGTGCATCTGATTTGAACACTGCCATTAAAACCACCATCGTTTTAGACTTGGACGATACTCTATCACAACCCGTTGAAGACATAGTTCCCATAGTGGAATCAGTCATGCAATCTGTTGCAAGTAAAATACATGCTATTCGAGGCTCGCATGATATGAAAATCATTGCAGAAGAACTATGTCAGTCCAAGCTCTTTACTGACGAGGGCGACCAGTTCGCCAAAATACTGGCCAAACAAGATATCGAGGTATTTCGTAATCATTCTTTTTGTCGACAACCTCTTGTCCTGGAACTAATTGTGTTGGGTTTTCCCAAAAACAGAAACTGGATGCAGACAAGGGATACGTTGTCGTCTCTCTTCTCTTTCATGTCGGTCAACTATCGCCCAACGTCTATAGAAGACTCGCTGAAGACGACTGGTTTACGAAATTACGTGATGTGGTGTTATCGAGGGCTTGGGCTTCAGCTGTGTTTAATAAGGGGGATAGAATGCATCATGCTGCTGCTCGATTGCTATATGAAGTCTGTCGAGTACAGGAGTTGTCTATATCTGAAATGGGTATGAGAGCGATTTCGTGCTGATTTCAGATTCGAGTAGCCGACAGTCTGATATTTTTATCGCACTTAGAGTTGCTCAACGATGAACTGATACAGTCGATATGTGACACCATTGAAAGAACGAGAGACGATCATCGAGAGGAATTCAATTATGATCTGATTCGATTGCTGGTAAGCTCTTCACGCGAAAGAAGAACAGTCTTGCCCAGAATGTGTACTAACATCCCTTCGTCTCAATCGCTAGTTGATATTCAACGACCAATTCACGAAGAAGAATGCTCGAACCCTCGTCATGATAAACCGAGTGCTTAGCTCAGTAGGAAGCAGAATCAGTCACAGCAAGACATTGACTGAGAATCTCGTCTTTATGTTCAATCGAGCTGGTAGGAGATCTTCAGTGGAAATTCAGATCAGGATTGATTACCAACCCTTTCTTTATCCCCAATAGATGACATGCCCACACAAATTCTCTTGATTGAGTTCCTCAAAGTGCTATTTGAGGACTCCACGACTTGGGATATCATCTATACCAATGATTTGAGAATCGTTTTGGATGTGATTGTTCGAGAGACTAGGAATGTGGAAGATGAGGTAAGGCTATAATTTCTTCGATTATCAGCAATACCATGTTTGACACTTTTTTCCCTGGTCCTTCTCAGCTCCAATACATGTACATAAACATGCTACCACCACTACTCCTTAACACTAACCTCGGAGAACTGAATTACAAAAAGGAAGAAACCTCTAAACTGTTGCATGAACTGATCCACGACCGATTCGGACACGTCAGCTTACGAGTTAGAAAAGCTGCTGAAAAGGTGTTGGCTGATACTGAAGCTATATTGAATCATTGAAGGGAACGTAGAAACTTGCATAAGAGCTGGATACCTTGTAGATAACGCCACGGTAATACACTTTGCACATGTATCCAAACAACCAACTCCTGTTTTTTGGAAACACCACAGCATGAGGATTCTCTTTAAATTTAAGCATTAGAACCATCACTATCTCAACTGGATGATACACTATTCAAGGCCCTGAAGATACTGCTGAATCGTGGATTCGATACCTCTTACGGTTGCGTACTTGCAATTCGTGGCTCGCATAATGAAAAACCATAGCGAAGTCCTATACCAGGTAGCCCTTGTCATGGAAGAAAGTGATGAGTTTTCCAAATCGTGCCTTTTTTGTGCTTTGGACCGGACAGAAGCTCGATGCAGACCAGGGATACGATGTCGCCTTTTTTCGTGTCTACGTCGGTCTGATCCCGACTGTGCATAACAGACTTGCTGAAGCAGGCTGGTTTGGCAAATTAAGACACACGTGTCATTGAGAGAGCTCGAACTTCAGCTGTTCTTGACAACGGTGGTATAATGCATTATGATGCTGCTCGATGGCTCTATGAAGTGGACTGACAATCTGGCGTTAGATTTAATCGAGATGCCAAGGAAGAGACGTTTCATTCTTGAAAATTACTCGGCTGTGAAGGTCGCCTTTTTTGCACAATGCTAAGATAGAAGGCATGACAACACAAATCCTCTTGGTTGAGTGTCTGAAAGTGCTGTTTGAGGAATTCAAGACATGAAATATCAGCTACACCAAGGAGTGCTCTGACGTTATGATTCGTTAGACTAGGAATGTGAAAGATGAGGTATGCATGAAAGATCCTCACTCAAAAACGATTCCTCGTCAATGATACAGATTATCATTTGTTGTTTGTTCTGTCTCAGCTCTATTACATACACATTAACATGCTACCGCCGCTACTCCTAGATGCTGCCGTCGGAGAACTGCACTACCAAAAGGAGAAAACTCCAAAATCGTCGAACGGACTGATACATAACAGACTCGGACACGTCAGATTACGACTTAGGAATGCAGCTGACTAGGCGTTCACTAATACTGAAGCTGTACGAAAGCATTCGAAGCACTTGCATGAGAGCGAGATACCCTGTATGATAACTATAAATCCATTTTGCGCCAGCTTTGTAGCTTTTTTTGCATAACAAGAAAGCCTTACGCATGAGGCTCTATTTGCCGAAAACCATTCCGTTTCATTACAAAAAGAAAACAGTGCTAGGTATTCTTTAAAGTTTGGCACCAGCAGCACCACCTTTACCCTTTTTAGATCCACCGCCCAACGGACTTGGTGGCATCTCGACCACATTCGAGTTCAAGGCATACGCAGACCATTCCGTAATCATTGATTCAAGTCTCAGAGGTTCTTTGGCAGCAATGTTAGTTACCTCGCCTGCATCAGCGGCGACATTGTATAATTCCCATTTGCCGGATCCTATGAAAAGGATATGTTGGGTGATGTTAAAGAAACGAGGTATGAGGGAGAGAGCTTACCCATTGGTTTAGGAATAAAGATTGCCTTATAATCCCCCTTCCTGATGGCTTGTTGTCCAAACAACTCCCTGAAAAACGCGAAACGATCAGACCAAAAAACATCCAATATTTCTTGAGAACTAAAGAGCCAACGCTCGTCTCAAACCCACTCACCAGCAAATGGCATAATCATCAGGATAAACCTCACTCGCCGCACCACTCAACAACGGTACCCACGATTTGCCCCTCACGGGCAGCACTTTACGACCTCTAAATACTCCATTCCCGGTCTCTGATGGGTGTGTCGCGCCAGCTAATTCCAGCATAGTTGGTAGGAGATCAAGGCATGTCGTCATTGCGTGTGTGATGTTTGCTTGCTTGTATTTCGGGTAGTGGACGATACATGGGGTGCGGATTCCGCCTTCGGTGATCCAGGTCTTGTATAGGCGGGACGGGGCAGTAGCTTAAAAAACAGTGATGAGAGGACTTAGACTGTCAAGTTGCAGTTGAGGTGGGTTACGTACCAGCTTGTGCCCAACGTGGACCATACTGGTGAGCAAATGTTAGTGTTCAAGTTGTCTGTAAACGTGTGATGGAGTGTCTGACTTACGTAGACATACTACGAAGAGAAAAACCGAACGAGTCAGCCAGGGAATGTTACTGCGACAAACAAAGTTCACTACAACTTACAGAGTTCCCTCTCCCAATGTTCTCCAAACTATTATCATAGTACTTTTTAATAGCATTTTGCACCCGTTCTCCAAACATGGGTCGTGCCTCAAGGAGCCCTCCCTCTGGAAAAGAAAATCAACCTTCAGATCAAGCGATTTATCCGTTCAAACTTTCAATTCCATACCAGCTCCATTATCCGAAATAAACTATAGTAACAAAGCATACGTGTTAGTCAGTCCTGTACATTCATACACGCAATCTCTCAAGTGTACAGTAGCATTTTTCCCGCATACCATGATAAACGTATTCTCAAACTCTCCCGTCGTCTTCAAATACTCGACAACCTTGCCCACATTCTCATCAATAGACTCAACCATTGCGGCATACACTTCCATCATCTTTGCGGATTTTTTACGTTCGTCTTCGGCCAAGTCGACCCAGTTCTTGGTCTTGAAGTGCGGCACCATGGGATGTGGGTGGACATTTTGCGGGATTAGCCCGAGACGCTGTGGTTTTTAAACTGGTCAGGTGTAGAAAAAACGAACAGACCATGGAGGTTCCTACCTTCAGGTGTTCGATCCTTTCGACACGCAATACTTCTGGCCCAGCATCGTACCGGCCCTTGTATTTGGCGATGAGGCGGTCGGGTGCTTGGAGTGGGAAATGGGGCGCTAGTTGTGGGACGGCGAATGTTGATGTGAGGTTTGCGTCATTGGGTGTTAAAATGGTAGGATTTTTTTAGCTCATTCCTTCGTTTCTCTGTTTATAAACGTTCTCTCAACTTCAAACCCTTACCAGTATAAGGCAAGTACGCAAAAAATGGCGCCTGCTTCTCCGTGGGACTACGTCCTTCCAAATACTCAACCAAACGATCCGTAAACGTTTCCGTACTATAAAAGTCTGCCGGAAGCGAACTGGCTGGAATGAATTGGTCTCCCTCCATGTACTGTTAAAAAATGGAATTTGTTCATATCTAATGCTATTTTTTGGGGGATGCTAAGCAAACGACATACCAGAGGTGGTTTCCCAGGATTACGCAGTGGCGACCCAGGCCCCTCGTCTACATCCGAAGCATCCGAAGGCTGTACTTGTGGCTCGAATGCATAATGATTATGTCTATCGCCCAACAAGACGTGCGTTAGCCATCCGCCTCTCCAGTTGCGGAATCCAGTAAACTGTACATCGGTTTTTTTGAACCCACCCTCCATGCAACATACTAAAATTCCTATCAAACCCTCTCGAGCACGGTGCCGTGGCCTTTGTCAACCCCAAATGCCATTTGCCGCTCATGAGCGTGAAATATCCAGCGTCCTTCATGAGTTCAGGCAGGGCTGCGACTTTACGGTTTAGTTCGCCCTCGTAGCCTTCCTTGTCTTTCCAGTATGCTTGTTGGGCTTTGCTGCACGAAGAACGGAAATGGTTAGATGTTGCGATTTGTTTGGCAAATGCACCATTTGAACGGGATTTTTTTGCATCGTCGGTTTAAAAAGTGTTGTTGCATGATGTGAGAGCTACCTTCCAGCAGTCATGAACTCAACCATCTAAAAGCAATACATTCGTGAGATTCATCCAATCATCCAAAACGTGAACAGTTTTTACCTGACCAACGCCAGCCAAATGATGATCCGTTCCAGACATGAGCATTGCTCGTGTAGGACTGCATGCGGACGCCGTATGGAATCCAGTGAATCTCGTTCCGGCTGCTCCTAGCCTAAGCAAGAAAAGCACGATCAAAACGACGTTATAGCCTTTTTACTGTATAGCTTCAAAGCGTGATATGCATGATGATGGTGGTATTTTAACGCATCAGCCCGATATTCAAACAGATCCCTGCATCCACATTCCACATGAAAGAACCATGAAATTGCATCGTTGCTTACTTGTCCAAATTCGGTGTCTTGATCTCCCCACCAAAACATCCAATATCCGAGAATCCGAGATCGTCTGCGACAATGATTAAGAAGTTTGGACGTGCCATTATCCTGGTCCTACAAAGAGTGGTTTGTTCAAACGTTTGGTTAAAATGTTGCAAGAGTGGAAATGTCGCAATAGTAAAAACCTCAACCAATTTTGGGAAAACTTGAAGGGCAAGGGCAGTAATAGTCAAACGTACGATGTAAAGACTTACCTGATTAAGGTCTTGTAAAGGTTTTCGTATTGCGATCAGGAACCTTTTGACACATGGGTTTTGTACTACAAAAGCAATTCATGGAGATGGATGAACATTCACCCTCACACGAAGAGCTTGTGAACACCGTAGCAATGATGATCTCTAACACGGTCAGACACGAAGAAACGCGTAATGCAAAAAAAGAGACTCTTCTCGAAACATAATCGCGTCAAGTGTGAGCACCTATCTTATATAAACTATACAACTACCATCATTTCATTCCGTGCTATGAGCTTACCTTTACACATTACTGTACAGGACATTCGCCATCCTCTTCCTAAACAAAAAAAATCAGCCATCAAGTCCTCTCGACAACCCAATGTTATTATCACATACCTCCTCATCACCACCACCTCCGCCGCCTTGCCCACCAGTAGCACTACTACCCGCACCACTACCCCTCTGTCTCCCCATCGTAGACAATAAACTTCTCAACATACTTCTCGTAATAACCAACTCTCCATCCTGATCATTCCTCCTCTCATCAGACTCGGCGACAATCGCATCCTGGTGCTGCAAGAGTGAGCTTGATACGGGTAGTCCAGCTTCACTGGCGAAGGTACCGCCTGGGAAGGTCGTTGACGCATCGCTCGTGAATGGTTGTGTGAGAGATGGGGTGGTTGCGTTTGATGCTGTGCGGAGCCGGTGTGAGAGGCCCATTGAACGGTGTGATAGGCGTGGAGATGAGTTTGTTGTGGGTTGGGGAGTTGATGAGGTGGTGGATGATGATGAGGGTGCTGAAGTGGTGATTTGTTCGGAGGCTTGTTTTGGGTATATGGGTTCGAATAGTTTGACGGTCTACAAATCAAAGCGGAATCAAGATGATACTTAAGAAATCGAAAGAGCGAAAAAATAAGAGATGAGATCATAAAGGTATGCTCAAGTGCTTACATCATCAATTCCAGATACAGCGACAGTTGGCAGATATGGATGAGACTCAACGACATTCACTACTTGCTCATCACCACGTAGTATTTGCAAGATCCGCGAAGTCTTCTTGTCCCAGATAAAAAACAATCCTGCAAGAAAAAAGACTTAAACCGTCAAAACAGTTCCAATACGTACCTTTTGAATACCACCACACACGCACCATTATCACTCCCACTAACAACAAGACTCGAATCATGCCCAATAAAATTCACATCCTTGACAGTCTGCGAATTGATATGTCCACTATACTTTTGGGTATACGTAGAAATCAACTCTGTCTGTGGAAACGCCACCCGATTCCTCCTTGACGGCATCAATTCCGAATCACTTCCCGATTCATCCGATGATTCCATATTGCCCTCTCCTCCCTCATTCGCATCCATATCATTAAACGCATCCCAATCATCATCAGCTCCTTCCTCATCATCATCGGCATCAGCAGCAGCGACAACATGCTTCAATTTCCCATCTGGATCGTTGATTTCCTGTACTCGTACATCAGTACTGATACTGCATGATTCCGGAACCTCAAGTTTAGATTGATGGTCACACATCCAATTCAAAAACGATTCCGCATCTCCGTTATTCATGACACCGTTCGTGACATCGACGATTGCATCAGCGAGTTTGTCATCAACTGGCCAATCAATACCATCCAGATCGCTTTCAGCTTGTTCAATGCTTCCTTCCTTGTAGCTTGGATCAACAATATATACAGCCCATGATGATGCAACTCGAAGTACAAGCGACGGAGCCACATTCGAATCAGCATATTCCATGGCCTCTGTAGCTTCCGACCCAGCATTCATGAGTCGTTGCAGGATTACCATGTTTGTGTTTTGGTATCCGTCACCTGCTTCTCCTTCTTTTGATGGTGTTATAATAAATATGGGTGGAGATGAAGAGTCTGGTTCCAAGTTTGGTATCATGTCTATATCATTATCTTCTGTACCAGTAGTGGCAGTTCGTTTTCGTTTCAATGGACTTTCAGGCTGTTTAACCACTACCGTTGTTGTTGTTGACGACTCTATCTTATCAAAATCGGATGCGCCCCATGCCAGATACGCTCTAGCCATGTTTCGACGTGCCATGGCACACATTTTTTGAGACTTTGATGATTTGAGCATCTTTTTCTCGTTGAGTACTTGAGCGACTTTTGAGAGATGTGTGATGGATGCTTCGTAATCTTTGTTTACTTCATACTCCAATGCTGCTTGTTGGAATAAATCGATAAGGGAAGCTATTGGATCTGTTTTTATCGGTTGTGGAAAAGGAGATGGTTGAGCAGTATCGACTTTGACCCGTTGCCGAATGGAAGAGTGTCTGAATGTTGAGCCTGGTGATATAAAGTTTCCAACAGCAGCCGATGAAGAGATGTCAAACAAGTATATATGGTCACTAAATGTCAGAAATCGTAGTCAACCAAAAATTGGGAGGCGTAAAAGCATTGATTTGCTACAACATACTTGTGCCAACTTCCAAGCAGCTCCCTTCCATTATACTCTGAGAATTTACACGCGGTTATATTCCCTATAATTCAAACCCGAATTCAACAAGAAGGTTCCAACACAAATCATTTTAAACAAGACAAACCTGATGCTTTAACTGACGACGGGCGAAACTTTGATACTGGCACCTTTGCCGACCGCACATCATAAAGGTACATATGAGGATCCGCACCAGCAACAGCCACGTAATTCGTATTCAAATGACTCTGCGAGATGGTGTTGAGCTCGATAGAGTGATCTGACAAGTCGATAATTGGAGCAGGACAACTGCGATTGCTTGTAGTGCATCGATGAGGTGTTCGTAAGTCGAATCTCCGTACGGTGCCATCTAAGCACACTGCGTCAGTAGAAAATAGAGGGTGTAATTGTTTCAATACAGGAATGTATACCTTCTCCACATGCGATGAATACGTTTGGATCTCCAGGCGTGGTAACGATTCTTTTAGCACGATCTCTAAAACAAGAGTACGTTGACCGTAGTGTCTGTCGGGAAGCACCGATGGAGATGTCGATAACTTTTACGTCACCGTCACCAGCACAGCACAGGACGACCGCGTCGCCTGTAGCAGGCATGAATTTGGCACTGAATATGTTTGCGCGATGGCCTGTAGGGAATCGAGATAGGAGTTTGGTTGGTGCCGGACTGTTCTTTGAGGATGGTGGGCCTGGCTCGTATCTAGATGTTGAGTTATTGTCAGAAGATGGAGGCGAAAAAGGGTCCAAGAAGAACCTAATGCTTTTGTCAAACCTCCAAAGGCATAAGTGAGTATCATCGCTACAATCAAAACAGATTAGCTCTCGGTAACTCTGACATTCACAAAACCACGCAACCCACCTTCCACTAATCAACAACTCTCCCGTTGAATTCCAGCTAGTTTGCAACAATATACAAAATCATGTGAATTTAATGTCGACGGGACAACACGGTTCAGTCATATAACACAGCATACCTAAGAGCATTCACACATCCTCTATGACCAGACAATACCTGGCTGAGTGTCAGTCTGCTGGTAGCATGAGATGTTAGCAGTCGTTGACGCTCAAAGCTGCAGGTTGGATTTGCCAAGTGTTCTCGCTCTCGGGCAAAGCTGTAGAGTCCGAGAGGAGTCCGAAGGTCCATGGTGGAGAAGCTTGTGACGGTCCTCTTTAACTGCTTTTTTTGTAAGTGTTGTTCTTACACTTAAAAGAGTACGCTCCAAACACACCCAATTTCGGGTATATAGACACGCATTAAAACAATTTTGTTATTTTGTTCATATATTTCACTCATATTCCCACTCTACAAACAAAAAACTACAATTGGTTTCAGTCACGGATATCATTATGTCCCTTCACACATATTAAACACAATTTTCACATATCATATCACCCATATTATTTATGCTTTAACTTCCCGTTTCGTTTCAGCAGCCACTACCACTTGCTTCTTGAAAAAGACCTGATCAAACACCATCCTGAAAACTCCCGGCAACACCCGTGGTTCAAACTCAAAGAATGTCATCATCACACCACATAACGGGGCAAGATACATCATCTCAGCATATTTAGGCATGCCCTTTGGAATCCATCCGTAGTGCTGCCATTGGTAGAACAATGACTAAACGAGTAATTTGAATACGTTAGCACAACAGCCAACACGATTAAGACTAGCGTTAGAAAAGAATAGCATCACAATTGAGACCACTTCAAAACCAAAACTCACCTGCGTAGCAAACGGTATACAATAAAGCGCCAGCTCAACCTGTCTTCCATAATTCTCCAACAGGTTCGAGAATCCCGATACCAGTCCTCCAACATACACAGCCAAATGACTCTCCCTCTTTGTCAGATTACGAGAATAGCATTGCACCAAAATGCCAGTATTTAGCATGATTCCAATCGCGATACACGATTGTGCGACGGCCATACTGAATTTGAAGGGCCAGAGTATGATGGATTGGATTTTGGAGAGGAGGGTTGGTTTCGGTTTTGGTTTGTCGGATTTAGTGGAGGGTCGGGTAGGACGGCGACCGAGGAGCGACGTCACGTAGCCGGTTACGATTGCGCCGAGGTAGACGCCGGTGTAGATTTTGAATCTGGTGATGGAAGAGGTGTGAGTAAAAGGAAGCGAGGGACTTGGGTTAGAATGCTGAACTTACAAGTCATAGATCGACTTTATGACACCTCGCACGAATGCCTCGGAACAGGATTCATAGTTGGGGTGTAATTGGGCACCTGTGCAAAGATTGTTAGATTATGTTCACATCAAATGTTCTCGTCATGCCCTTGTCATGCTTACAGAGAATATGATCATGCTTAACCCCATGTGGTATGATATCAGCAAACACCTTCAATCCCAACTTTTCCAAAAAGTGAAGCTTGGAATCAACATGGTCGATTTCAATCGATTTGGCGGTATTGTTTATGAGATCGTCTAAATCGAGAAGACTTGTTAAATGAAGCTCAGAAAGAAGGTTCAACACAGGACTTACTGGCAAGTTGCGCATGCATTTCATACGTCTTTGGTTTCTGGTTGTAGTAGAAAACGGTGCTGGTGCAAGAGCTTAGGAATTGTAGGTATGAGCGCTACAAAGACGTGAAGAACATCTTGTTAGAACGCAATAGTTGCGTGTTGATCTGCAATGAACGACAAACTTACCGGTAGTCCATTCGGCAAAAACTGCCAGCAATACCCAATCTGCGACACAGTCACCATATATATAATCGTAGCACCATATTTACCCAAGAACTTCAATGCGAAGTCTTGGATTTTCAACATTGTCGATTCAGTCTTTAGCTCAGCGGGAACCTCATGTTTGACAGCATCCGAGATTTTAGCATTAGATACAGGTGCAGCAGCGACAGCAGTCATAGGCGAGAGGAGCGACAATGCATTAAGTTTCTTGGCGCTAGCTATATCCACAGCCGAATCGACACGTTTCGTTGGTGTTACATCCGTGACCACAACAGCATCCTCCAACACTGGTGTTGCAACCACAGGAGCAGCCTGTATACTCTTTACTTTCTCATCAACAGCCTTCCTCGCAGCTCCATTCTTGGCATCCAGCGTATTATATGTGTATTTCGACACTATCCAGAACGTGCGTGCGAGCACGAATAAGGCATAGTCCTGTCGTCTCGTAGCGTCCCGGTCTAGCAACAGCGTCATAGAAGCTAGCGTTCCAGCAATAAAGGATTTGAGAAAGCTTGATATCGGCGTGTACGTATCAAGTCCAAGCTTGATGGTTCGGTATGCAAATACGGCGAGTGCTGCGATACCGCTAAATTGCATTGCGTCGAGCCCGCCGAGGTATTTGATTACTTCTATTGGTCTTTGGAAATAATAATAAACTAGTTAGTTCAAATTTTAAATGTTTGGATTCTAAACATTTTGTGATGTTGACGAGAACCATAGATCTAGGACCCACTTTTTGATAATCATGCCAGATAGCACTGGTCCCGGCAGCTTTGTAGCAATCTGCAGCGCGTAGCATAGCAATGCAGCCTTGGCCGACCCGATTATGATCTGTTGCAAATTGTCCTGTTCTGCTGGAGCTTGCATGTCTCGAGCTACCTTTGATGAAGCCATTGGGGCGATTAAATCTAGATAATAATATTACCACTAAATTGTTGTAGATTAATATCGTAGAGAGTTGACGGGTTGCGATGATGGAGATCTAATTTTTGCACGGCAACAATTTTTTGTGAGACGTGAGAATTTGAAATAGAACAATCCACTCGAAATTACGTATGTGAGACACCAGTCGGACAATGGATGAATTTGTGCATGCAGCATGGTGGAGACGTTGACGTACCTGGAGGCCACCGATCGATACTTGGTTGTTGCTTCTGTGCGACTGACAGGCATGCGTAACAAACTGCCGTCGGATTACATTTGGCGACATCTCTGCAACGTTAATCGTAGATCTTATTCTCAATGCAGCCAGCTAGGCAGTTGAGTACTTCCGGCACAGTTCTTCTCTGCGCTGTGATTGATCACGAAACTATGTACGCCTTTTGTCTCCGTCCTCACACACAACCTCCTAACACCTAACTACACAAATGTAAATCATGTAAAGCTTTCTATTTTGCAAAAGCACTCTACCAAAACATGAGATTCTCTACGAGTTTTCCACAGAAACTCCATACAATTTTTTTGCGATTGAATGATTGATTGCCGTTCCACTCAAATTTAAGCAGCAACGGAAGCAACAACGGGTCCAATAACATCAGCATGTTGAGCAGATCCCTCAACGATTGCTTTTTGGGTGGCAACGGTGGTTGGGTCAGCAGCCATGGTGGCGAGACCAGCTTGGTCGCCAAAGATGGAGACCAAGACGTAGATCTTGGTGTCGATGGTAGATTTGTAGAGGGAGAAACGCTTGTAGCCTGTTACAAAAGTCCGAGTTAATGGGGATTGTCATTGAAAAGGGGCAGGGAGCAAATACAAGGGACGTACTGGGGATTTTAGCCATGTCAGCACGGACGAGTGCGTATCCGGATTCAAAGTCGACGGCTGGGGTTTCGGTCTCTAACAAGAATGTGAAACGCGTTTAGAGCGAAAGTCCAAGTATTCACCCTCCAAAAACCGAATTAAAGCATTCGCTAACTCACTTCCTTGAGACAAGGTGATGGACAAGATGTCTGTGGCGGCTGGGACTTGAGAACCTTCACGGTGGACCAAGTCGAATGGTCCTTGTAAGAATGCACCGGCAGCTACATGTGGGAAGCGAAATCAATACAAGGACCAACTGGTCGTTATGCAGAAACGTACCAGTGTAGAGAGGAGTGATGGTGGCAATGGCGGCTTGCATGTTAGCATCAGTGTCGAACTAGAACGACGACATGGTTAGATTTAGGAGAAACCAAGTTTGGCCGCAACATTAAAAAAATGAGTACGTACTTGGTGGAGGACTACATGGGTGGTAGTTGGGGCTTCACCAGCGACGTGCTTTACAACTGCGATGACGGTGGTTCCAGCAGCCTAAGCATCAGAACAAAAGTTTGTTTAGCACCTCGTGGATTTGTAAAAGGACGCAAGAACACAAACACAGCGAAATACGGCGACGTGCAGGCTCACCTTGGCCTTGATGGCTTCAAGAGTAGCTATTACAACAAGATGGAAACCAGATTAGTAATTTGGATGAGAGCCTAATTGCCCGACACACATTGTAAAACCAAGTTTTTAAGAGGGTGAACATACCGGTGGTGGTGTCAGTTTCTGACTTGAGGAGAGCGACGTACATAGCAGCACCGGTTGCCATTTTTGTTTATATGATTCGGGGTTGGGAGAGAGTTGGGAGGTTGTAGTTCTGTGAGTAGATGGGATGGTTACAAAGTTAGAACGTTTCAGGCAGCTTCCACACGTTCGCAAGTTACAAGCTTAGAGCAAAGAACCAGATACACATACCTTTTATGGTGTTGTTGATGTATGAAAACGATTTTGGAAGACAGAAGAACGATCAGGTGAGAGGCTCATCCCTTTCGCGTTTTTCGTCCACTACTGCCTATACCCTTTGGC